GTGTGCGCTCTGGTGTGGTTTGTTCCTTTCCTATCAAAGATCTGTCGTCCTTAACTCTCCTCTTTTTTATGCACGTGTTACTCTCTTGTAACACCTCGAATCTCCGGCACTAATACGACCTAATTGTGTTACAAGTGCCGTAAAAGTGTTGCATTACTAAAGCTGACCATGTCCCCACAGACATGTACTCACCAGGGTTTTATGCACCCCGCATAATTTAACAAAATTTGATCTTTTTTTTTCTGTGCGTAATTTCTGATTATTTTCCTTTATCATTCTTTGTTAAAAATACATGTAACAGAATCGCATAATTTCTCATCTTTGGGCCCAGTTTGCATAATTTCAGAATTTGTTTTGCACAAAACCGCGGGGACAGATGATCATAATGTACTCAACAGGGTTTTATGCACCCCGCATAATTTAACAAAATGTGATCTTTTTTTGGGCATAATTTCTGATTATTTTCCTTTATCATTCTTTGCTAAAATTAACAGAAAATCGCGCAATTTCTCGTCTTTGGGCCCAGTTCGCATAATTTCAGAATGTCTTTGCATACAACCGCGGGGACGGATGGTCGTAATGTGCTCACCAGGGCTATCTCGGCCGGGCCGTAGGGCGTGGTGTGGTAGCCGTTGTGTTGTCGCTGACCGCTCTCTCCCCCTGTCTGACCGGCGCAGCTGGGGACCTGTGACGTCATAGCCACGGACATGGAGGATGCCGAAGACGACGAAGAAGAAGAAGACGACGATGATGATGATGAGGAGGAGGATAATGAGACCGGGAAGAAGGGCGTTAGGATTGGAGGGGAGGAGCTGGATTCTACAGAGGAAGAGCTGGAGGATTCGGGAGGAGAGAGGGGGAGGAGGTCTTGAACATTCCCCGGCTGGAAGTCCAGCAGTGCGGCAGAGGTTGTGGTGGGAAACCTGGCGGTGGCCGACAGTAGGAAGATGTCGTCTGGGACGAGCGTGGTGCTGTCAGTGGCCCGGTGGTTCACGTCTGTGCACGGGAAACTGCTGCTGTCGCTTGCTGTGTGGTGGTGGTTGCTGTGGTTGTTGTGGTGGTTGTTGTTGTTGGTGGTGGTTGTGGTGGTGGTGATATTGTTGTTACTGATGTTACTGATAAGGTTGTTGCTGTTGTTGTTGTTGTTGTTGCTGGCACTATGGATGCTGGTGTTGTTGATGCTGTTGTTGTTGTTGCTGCTGCTGTTGTTGATGTTGTCTTGGCCACCGGCAGCGTTGTGGTAGCTGTTGCTATTGTTATTGTTGTTGTTGTAGTTGCTTCCGTAAAAACGCCAGTTGTTGTTGTTGCTGCTGCTGGTGGTTGTGCTGCTGACGATGTTAGCGCTGTCGTCGAACGTGCTGCTGTCGGCGCGGTTGCTGCTGTCGTTGAAGTTGATGATGCTGGAGAGGATGGAGGGCGACTCGGAGTAGGCGTAGTCTGGTGACGTCATCGCTGTCTGGCCCGGGGAGTGGTGCACTTCCGGTCTATGGATCAGCATGGTACCCTGGGAAGGGCAAAAGAGGAGATGGTTTTACTTGTAGTTAGATTTTTAAAAATCATTATTACTATTATTATCATTATCATTATTAACATTATTGCTACCATTATTATTATTGTTATTATGCTGCTGCTCCTGCTGCTGCTGCTCCTGCTGCTGCTGT